CTACCTCTCCTCCTTTCTTTCTTTCTCTCTCTCTCTCTCTCTCTCTCTCTGTTTCGCTTGGCTCTTTCACTTTGGGCCTTTCTACTCTGCCACATGCTGTTGAAGATTTATGAACGCCTCTGGCGCTTTAAATTGAATTCAATATTTTGCCAGCGCGTTGCAACGTCAACAACAACAACAACAACAAATTGTTAAACAACAACGAGCAAAGTTTTTTGCTTCTTTTTCGTTGACAGTTGCATTTTATGGCCACAATTCGTTGCTTTCCTACTCGCTCGCTCGCTCTCGCTTTCCCACCCTCCCTCTCTCTCTCTATCTCTATTTTCTTTTCTGTTTTCTTTGCGCTGAAAATTGATTTTCCTTTTACCTCTTTGTCAGCTGCAGCTGAATCAGTCGGTGGGTGTGCGCGTGGGTGTGAGTGCACAAGAAAAAGGTGTGAAAGGCGGCGACGAGTTGGCTGCCCTCTGCCAAGCACCACAATTGAGTTGTCTATTTCGTTCTCTCTCTCTCTCTCTTTCTATTTTCCAACTTCCTGCACAACTATCGCTGTCATTAAAAGAGACATACCTGCAAAGATAGCAGAGAAAACAGAAAGATTTAGCATCAGGTATTAGCAGATTAAACAAAGTTTTAGTTTATGTATTGAAAAGGAAAATTTAAGTGGAATTTGCAATCAAGTTGAAGGGAATGCTTAAAGAAAATGCAATTCAATTTGGCTAAAGCAGAGATTTATGACAGCAAAGTTATTAAGCTGCAGGGCATACAACCCATAATAGTGATGAAGGAACCTAAAATCAGATTCATTAAGATTTACTCTTTGTAAATTTTCTTATACACTCTACTTAATACACTCACTTAATACACTCATATACAGAGATATCACTGAATGAATAGTTAGTTAAATAAGAATTTTATGATACAGTTTAAGAATCTATACAGATTGAGAATCTCAGCAAAACAAAATCTCAAACGGAGCTACAATACAAATCAAGATATTGATTACACATTCATCAATTTATATATTAGTTCCGACTCTTCCGCGAACTACATCTAAAACTCGTTTCACATCTTGATTAACATTTTTTGAGATAGAAATAAATAAACTGAGGTTCGCTTTGTTTCTCTTCTTAGTTTGGCAATTGAAGTTCATGTGCGGCAATTGTTGCAATAGCCATTGTTGCTATTGTTCTTATTGTTGTTGTTGTAGTTGTTGTTGCCGTTGGGCGCAATCATCATTACAAAGTGCTGAGGTGCAGCGCTCCGTTGGCTGTCAAGATAAGTTTGCCGTGCTGTTCGGTTGTTGCCTATATGTATGTACGTATGTATGTATGTATGTATGTTCGATGTTGTTGTTGCAACGGATTCTGCAACCAGGCAGAATCGACTGGGGCAGGCAGTTAACCAGCTCAGAGTAGAGTTCAGTTGAGTCAAGTTCCGTCAAGTCAGGCGAAAGGTGTGCAACACTCGAGTGCAGCACGTCCGCTCGCCCCCAACGTTAGCTGCCCCCCTTTCCAGCAACAGCAACAACAACAACCACAATGACGCCCCACTGAAAACAGAAAATGTTTTCGTTTGAGTGCACAAAACGCCGACGAGCGACGGCGGCAGCTGTTGTTGTTGTTGCTGTTGCTGCTGCTGCTGCTGCTGTTGTTGTCGCCTCGTCAGCGGGCGCTACATTGGCGATTTTTTCGTGGTTGTTGTTGCTTTGTTTTGTATACGTATATATAGATATTTTTCTCTTATTTTGTTTCAATTTTGTTTTTGTATTTCGCTTCCACTCCCTCTGCTTTGCTCTGTTATTCGCCCGTCAATTCAATTTGAAGCCATTTAGCATCAATTTGCAGTAATTTGACGTATAAATTATGTCAAATTGCCGAGCAGCTTGTCATTGGGTGTATTCTGTAGACAGTTGTTGTTGTTGTTGTTGTTAGTGTTGTTGCTGTTCTCACTCACTCACTTAATGCTCGTTGCTTTTGTTGTTGTCGCCGCCGCCGCCGTTGCTGTCTTTGCACCTTTTTTTTTTCAATGACCGCTCACAGCACAGATTGGCTCAGGTATAGAGCGAGAGAGTTGCTTAAGTGTGTGAGTGCGAGCAGTGCGACATTATCACAAAACATGCGGAGGTTCCAGCTCAATTCCAGTCAGATCCATTGTGTAGAAATGAGTTTTTTTTTTGCTGCTGCTCTTCTTTTTGTTTCTTTATATCGGACACGTTTCGCACTGTGTGAATTTTATTTTCGCTTGTCGACACAAAAGAATTTCACTTAACATACACATACACACACACCGCACACGATACACACATACATACATATTTATAGAGGCGCAGGCAAACACGACGACACATGGATGCCGAAAAAAAGGGTCCAAAGACCCGTACAACAACAACAACAGCAACACAAACTCGAGCCCGACACTAAAAGTGCCTATAAAAAAGGCCCGATATGCGACGAGGGGGAAAATGAAACCGACAGAGAGACAGCAGCAGGCTGTGATAGGAGAAGAGGCCGAGAGAGACAGGGACAAGGGCAGCAATCTTTACGCTTTTGTGAATGTTAACATTCAAAGATATCATCGAAAAATTCACTGGAAATGTGCCTCAGTACACACAATACAAGACAATAATAAAAGGTAGAATATAGAAGAGAGGCAAGAGCGAAAGGAAGAGAGCGCAAGATCAACCTAAGCGAACGTATGTGTGAGAGTGCGTAAGTATGTGTGTATGTGTGTGTTCCCCTCCAGTTAAGGCTCAATGCTGCTGCTCTTCTCCTTTCTCCTTCTCCCTTTGTGTATTTTGTCGCCTCTTTTGTGCGGATGAGTTGCCGTTCACGCGTCGTAAACTCGGTAGCCGCTTCCAAACAGCAACAAAAGACAATGGGCAAGCAGAAGAGGAAGAACAATAACAGTGAGTCAAAATTTCCGCATGCGCCGCCTGCAATCGTATGTGTGTGTGTGTGTCTGTGTTTGCGTGTGCGATTGAATGTGGGGGAGCAGCAAGACAACATGTCATCATCATGTCCGCCTACTCTGCCCACTGACCATGTACTTGCGCTCTCACTCGCACAGCTGGTCGAGAATGCGAGCTATTTGAAGAATTTCCATTTGCATTTTAATTAAGTGAATGGATGTCTGGAATGAGTCGGATGAGGGGAGCGAGCCAACAAGGAGGAAGAGTAGGAGGCGCTGGCGAAGTAAGTGAAGCAGGAGGCGCTGTTGGTTTACTCGAGCAGCAAAACTTTATTATCTGTACAAGCAATTATGCATATCATAAAACACTTTAAACATTAATGAGCCCCAGCCAGGCCAAAAGACCAAGTCACAAGCCCAGTTGGCCACGGCTTAAGGCTCACAGCTCGTTTATTCATTCATCCAACGCGCTGGATGGAGACGGGAGGCGGTCGGATGACAGGATGGACGAACAGGCGGGTAGAGAGAAGTTGAGAGAGTGACGGCACCCAACGCACGCCCCCAACTGTTTCGGTTAGTTATGGCAAAAGTCAGCGTGTTGCCACTTTATTGCCTGCTTTACATTTCTGTTAGTTTAGTCCGCGCCCGCCGGCAACAAACTGCTGTTTGCAACTGTGCCTAGGCATACGCCTGTGCATGCCTCTGTATGTGTGCGTGTGTATTTGCCTGGGTATAAAATCGTGTTATGTTTTGCGGCTAAATTAAAATTCGACTTAATCGTTTAAACATTTAAGAGGCGAGGCAAAGCCAAAAGCAAAAGGCAATAGCAGCACCAGCAACAGCAACTAATCCACTGCTCGTTGTTGTTGCTTTTTACAATTTTTTGTTGTATTTTCTTCTTCATTTTCTGCATGCGCAGCGCAGTCGCAGAGTCCCAAAGCCAGCAGCCGCATAAGCAACATATTGCTGTCTCGCTTGAGCGTGCCATGAGCGCCATAAACAAACATGGCTGCTCCTGCTGCTGTCGTTCGCTCTGCTTTGCAGGGGCTAAGTGCAGTGTGTGGTGTGTGGAGTGTGGAGTGGAGTGAAGTGGAGAGTTTTTCGAGTTTCGAGTTTCAAGTGCGGCGAGTGGAAGAGAGCGTGGCATGTTTTCACTTTGCGCTTTGGCTTTGCCGTTGCCGTTGTTGCCGTTGCGGTTGCTGTTGTTGTTGCTTGGCAATATTTAGCCTCGAGGGTCGCACAATTCAAATGTTAATTAAAATTTAAAAGCTTAAACTGTGCAAATTGTAGCACACAGAAGCCCAGCGCTGCCGTAGAGCCGCACTGCCGCAATGATTTATCTTGCCTCGACTGTCAGCGTCGACGTTTGTCATTTGAATAAAATGAAAATTATGGCATTTATTTGCTGTCATTTCTGGCTGGCTTTTTGAATTAATTGCCACTCGTGCGCTGACAGCTTAACTAACAATATACGCGTTGCTTGCTGCAATCCAACCTTTTATTGTGTGCACGTGCTACAAATATTCAATTATGCACTGTACAAATTATTTAAAACGTGCAAATGCAATTTGCTATAAAAAGCTCTAACAATACGAGCATGTGGCTACGTCTGCTGGTCAATTAAGGCAACAGCAACAACAACTTATTTCCATTTCAATTAACTGCTGCTGCTGCTCATAAATAATGAGAAAAATAATAATAATAATAATACAATACAAATATAGAACACATTTTGCTCAAAGTAGCTATGAAAAGTGCCGTTACACAGATTTATGGCACATTACGCTGTTTAGGCGAATTGCCAACAAGTGTGAATTTGACGCAAAAGCTTTTCGCTCTTAAATTGCTTCCTTTCTATTCGGCGAATTTCCAGTAGCAACAGCAATCGCCTGGAAGGGCAGCCATTAGTGAGATTGCTGAAGGCAAGAGATTTCTATAAATAGAAGGGAATCAAAGAATGAATGCAAAAGGCAGCCATAATTGGAAGCAGCAAAGCATGAATAACTGAATTTTTGAGCAAACAAGAATTATTTCAAAATATATATTATTTATATTTTAGCAAATCGACATTTAATTTACTGAAAATATGACAACAATGTAAACTTAATCACACGCTTTGGGCACACTACAAAAGATCAGTAATTTGTTTCTTTCAACCATTTAAGTGCATGTTAAACAACCACAAAAACTTGTTGTCAATTCCGCACACATTTCTTACATTTCTTCTCTCTCTCTCGTTTCGTTTCGTTCATTTTCGTTGCGGCATTGCAGCGTGGCATGCAACATTCAGCAGCCTAATGCGCTGGGCGTGTCAAGTTTGGCCGTGCGCCTGTTGGCGCCGCGTTGAGCCAACAACACGCCAAACAAACAACTTGACAACGCTTTCGATTTAGTTATTATTTAAGCAACATTTTCTTTATTATTTTTTGTTTTCGGTTTGTGTAATGCATAATTTGAAAGGCAACAAAAAAAGAAAAAAGGTTTAACGCGATTTTGACATGCAACATTTTATGTTATGCTTGGGGTTAAAAGCCACAAACAACAAAAAAGTATATGTATTGAAAGGACAAACCAATCGAAAGCAAACGAATAAAAGAATTCTAATTGAGGAGCTGAACGTGCGAGACAACAGCAACAGCAGCAGCCACAGCAACCGCAACAGCAGCAGCCAGAGCAACCACAGCAGCAGCAGCAGCAGCGAAATGTTGCTGATAGCAATCAACATCAATTAAAACAGCTGTCTGTCTCGCTGTTGTTGTTGTCGCTGCTGCTGCTGCTGCCGTGTGTAATTATATTTTGTTGTTGCGCCTTGGCCATTATAATCAACATCATCATCATCATCATCATCATCATCATTATCATTATCATCATAATTATCTTTACTGCCAGGCTAAGCACTGAAGCATTGCAATTGTAGCCGCTCTTACAGTTGCCAGCAACATGTTGCTGCTGTATGTGTTGTAGTTGGTCGCTTGACTCGCCTGATGGCAACTGCTGATAATTATAATCCGCTTGTGGTTAAAATGGTGTTGCCTACCTTACTAGCGATAAGCTTGCATGAATAATTATGTTGCCAGTTGGCGAGTTGTTGCTGTTGCTGCTGTTGTTGTTGCTGCTGTTGTTGTAGTTGCTGCTGCTGCTGCTGCTGCTGCTTTTGTGGTGGCTGCTGCCTGTCACTGCTGCTGGCCAATGCGCGACAACTCATGAATAATTAATGCAGTGCCTCGGTGCTGCTGATGCTGCTGCTGCTGCTGTTGCTGTTGCTGCTGCTGCTGCACGGCAGCAACTTGTTCTTTGACTTCGGCTTTGGCTTGTTGGCTCGTTGAAATATATTTTCAATTATAGCAGGAAATCGTGAATTATACTAGCTGCCAGCATTTTTACGCCTCAGTTGTTAACTTGTTGGCTATTATTGTGGCATTTGCTGTTGCTGCTGTTGTTGTTGTTGCTTGACTTATTTTGATTAAACTTCATACAGTGGCTTGTTAGCAGCGCATCACGCAAATATTTAATAAATACATAAGCGACAAGCACAAAGGCGTACCAAATTTGCTAGCAACACCTTTTGATGCTGCCGACAATAATTAACACTTGAATAGCAGCAACAGCAACAGCAACAACAGCAACAGCAGCAGCAGCAACAGCAGCACTAATAGCCGCACAAAAGGGCAGCAGCAGCAGCAACAACTACTATTTTATTATCAACTCAATTTGCATGAAATGCAAACACACACACACACACACACACTTATAAATTCCCACCTTAAATTAAATAAGCATTCAGTTTGCCTGAGATAGAAGAGGGTAGCTCGGGTATCTCAGTTTACAATTGGCACTTGAAAGGCATCAAAGTTATATACAATGGCAATAAATGCAGCAGCAGCAGCAGCAGCAGCTGTTACAGCAACAACAACAACAACAGGCTAAACAAGTATTGCTGGCAGGCAAACAATAGCAACAGCAACAACAACCTCTGAGGGTTTTTTCTTTGAAATTTGGTTTTGGGCGCCGCGCGCGCGGCTCGTTTGATGGGAATTTAAAGAGCGATCCATTGAAATGTGCAAATATTTTTAATACTTTCCAGCAATTTAATATGATTTATCTTTCGACCTTTTAGCACACGAATTCCTGAATATGAAGGAGACAAAAAAACACACACACACACACACACACTTATGTATACATGTACACAGCAATAAAAATATCTTGTTTCAAGATATCAAAATATTTGACTTTGTTTTTGGTTGAAAGCTTTTTATATTGCTTGAGGTGTTTTTTATAATTGGATTAGCTTAAAGCTTAAAACAGATTTGAAGTGTGTGTGCGTGTGTGTGTGTGTGGCTTGAAAGGATTTTCAATTTGTTTATATTTAGATGATGAAGTGTGAAAAGTGATTTAGAGCATAAATATATCATAAAGGAGATTTAAGTTGAAAGTAATTTCATATATTAGGATTTCATATAAATGGAAAAGTAATTTTTATCAGCTTTATCATTGTTAGAATGCATACATAATACACTAGATAATGCATATCTAGTGTTGGTTAAAGTCAAGAAAATGTTTTTCATAATTTTTGCAGACTGTGCCATGTACATATTAAAATAAAGTTTCAATTCAATTTAATACAATGCGCAAAGGCTCTATAGTCACGTAGTGGAAGCACGATACAAACACACACACACATAGATATAGATATATATATGGAGTCAGCTCTATGTATACCCAGAAGCGCCAAAGACATCTGTAATTCAGCTCAGTCTCTATGCACTTGGGCATTGAATTCCATTTCATTCCATTCAAAAGACGACGACGACGATGGCTGTTGCTGCTGTGTTGTTGCTGTTGCTGCTGCTGCTGCTGAGACTGTTTGTCATACCAAGTGAAATGGCTTACAAGCATTTCTCTTCCCCCTCTCTCTCTCTTTTTCTTTCTCTTTCTATAGCTGAAGCTTTATGCTGAGGCGTGTTGAGGTGTGCTTGGGCGATAGCATCTTGCATAAAATTACTGACAGCAGCAACAGCAAGAAGGCAGTCAGGCAGCCAGCCAGTCGGGCAACCACCAACAGCCACCAGCAGCGCCGACGTCTGATGCTGTGCCACTGATAGCCTCGAAATTGTTGGCAGTTGCAATTTGCTGTTTGGAATTTTAAGCGAGCCAACAACAATGGAAGCTGCTGATGGTCAGCCAAAAAGGCTGAGGTGCAGGCAACTGAGCCGCAGACACTCGTCCAGATAGCAACATCATTCTCATGCTCATCAGCAACAGCAGCAGCAGCAACAGCAGCAGCAGCAGCAACAGCAGCAGCAGCAACCACGGCAGCAACATCAGAGCCAAAGTTAAGGCGATTGCACATAAAAGTCAGCAGGCGGTGCTGATGTGTTGCTCCTGGCTCTGGCTCTGCCACTGACTCTGTGCCCAACACCACCTCCTGTTCCTCTCTCTCTCTCTTGGTGTTGCCCACTGCTAAGCTGCTGCCTGCTGTCCCCCTCAGCAACTGCTGCTGCCTGCTGCTGCTGTTGCTTCGTTTGCATTTTATTTTAGTTTTTTTTTTCTTTTTTTCTTATTTTCTTCTGCTGCCTGCCTTTCAGTTGTCTTTTTTTCTTCCTTTACTTTACTGCGCGCTGTTTTGTTCATTTCAATTCAATTTTTTTTCTGCGCTGTTGCTTTTTGCATAAAAACAACAACAAATGCCGTGCAAAAATCGAAATAAGATATAGTCTCGGCAGCCGCAGCAGCAGCAGCAGCACGATTTATGTTAATCAGACAACAGCAGCAGCAGCAGCAACAGCCCCAGCCAGTTGGAGTCGGGGCTGGAGCCATAGCCATAGCCATAGCCAAATGCATTCAATCATATTTTATCTGAGCACAGTAGTTGCTCGTGTGGCTCGACTTGACTTGCTTGGTTATTATGTATCGCTTAGATACTTTGGCGCACTTTCGGATTGCTTTGAAGACGGCTTGAGGGGGCGGCTAAGATTTCTGGGGCAGCGCCAGTTGGACGGTTCAACTCTCTTGCATTGGCATCCATAAGAGCTAACAGGAAAAAAATAGATCTTGAACCACGTTTTTTTTTTATTATTTTATTTTTATTTCTATTTTTTTATTATTGGCATTTGTTTGCGGTCGTCGCAGTCGTTGCCTGTGGTGAGATTTCAATTTGATTCGTTATCGATTTGATTTCAATTTGCCAAATGCTTTGCTGCCATTTGCTATTGCTATTGCTATTGCTGTTGTTGTAGTGGCTGCTGCTGCTGCTGCTTGGGTGAAAGTTCGTTTTCTTCTTCTTCAATTCAGTTTTTTGCTTTTTTATTGCTTTCTGTTACTTTGTTAATTTAAATGGCATTGAGAATGGGAAAGTAATTGGCTGTGGATTGTGAAATGCAGCCAATTTAACAGTTTCCCAGTTTCCTAAGGGTGAAGTGAATTAGAAACCAAGGAGGAGGAGGAGACGGCAAAGGAGGAATGCAAGGGGGATTAGTAGAAAAGAGAATATCTGGTGAAGTAGAATGAGACATAAATTAAAAGATAGAAACTATAGAGAGAGATAGATAGATAGATAGAGAGAGAGAGAGAGGGAGAGAGAAGAGGAGGAGAGGAAGAGATAGGAAGAAAGATAAAGAGAACAAGAGGGAGAGAGAGATGGAGAGGGAGAAATGAAGAGAGATACATATAGAGCAAGGGATAGATATAGCGAAGGAGATATAGATATAGTGTGAGAAATAGAGATATAGATCGAAAGCGAGATAGATAAAAAGAGTCAGAGAGAGATATAGATAGAGCGAGAGCAATAGATGAAGCGAGTGTGAGATTTTCTCTGTTCTTTATCTCTCTGTCACAGGATACCGAAAAAGAGAGACAGAGTTGCCTATATTTTTCCTTTTTTTTTTACTTTCTCTTTATCTATAGCATTTTCTCTCAATTAAAATTAGCATAAATATAAGCCCTCTTAGAGCTTATATCTCTAGATTCTCTTGATTGGCTAGATAACCCATACATATATATATAAAATCAACTTTGCATCCATTTAACATTTCATATTGCTGTTAATACTCACTCACACTCTTGAACATAGAGCAAAGGCTGACTCTACTCGGCCTCAGCTGATATCTAATAAGTCTCTTGATTGCCTACGTAACTCCGACTCAACTAGTTTTCATATCAAGCGCCTGATTCATATGGAAATTCTAATTCCCCTGCACTCTCTGTCTGTCTAATAACACAAGAGCAATTCTATAAACAATTTCAATCAATTGAATTATGCTGCAATCAATTATGTTTGGCCTTTCTATGCAGTATTGTTTAATCTGCTTGCCATGAGCTGGGCTCTACCTCATTAGCCATAAAGCCACAAAATCAACAGCCAGCTAAATGTTGCATTTCTCGCTCGCACTCACTAGAGATATTTATATATTGCACGCAAATTTCATGTCATTAAATTTGTGCCACGATGCATAATTCATTTCAAAATTAATCATATTTACTGGGAAACGTGGCCAGCCTATAGAGAGTGCACAGTTTTGATCCAATTAAATACGAACCTGCAAGAGAGAGAAAGAGAGAGAAACAATTGTTAATAAATTGCAATTGGCAAATGATATATATATATATATATATATATCTGATATAGTATAGATGCTGTATATATATATATATAAAATTTATGTATAAATTTGATTTACAAATGAATTATTTGCATTTTATTGGAATGCCAATGCCATGAGGCGAGCGAGCAATGCAAATGATGGGGCGCA